AAGGCAGCGGCCCAACCACTGAGCCACCCAGGCGCCCCTCAATAACATCTTCATAATAACAGCAGAAGTATATTGAATATGCAAATTCAGTTCCAAGACTGGAAATAAAAGGGGGAAAATCTCCCCCAAGCAAAATTATTTTTAGATATATAGTTACTAGCAATTATATGAGGATCAATTTTAGATGTAAGGTGAGCTTTGCTGTCCTGGCAATGTTCATTCCCTCTTGTTTAGACTTAGAATGAGTCCACTACCTCTCAGGGGATACAGGAGATGTAGGCTTGACTGGGTCATGATTAGCTCGCTCACTGAGCCTCCGTGGAGATAAATATGGTAATTTTGCTGTTTTTATCCTTGGTGTGTTTTGAATACCTCTCAGACAAACTCGAGGGAATAATAATTCTGAGCTTTATCAATTTTACTTTAAAATTAATTGGAGTTTGTTTGTTTGTTTATTTATTTATTTATTTATTTTAGAGAGAGAGCAAGGAGAAGGGCAGAGGGAGGAAAGAGAGAAACTCAGGCAGACTCCCTGCTGAACATGGAGCCCAACTCAGGCTTCAATCCCTCATCTGCCCAAATCTAAGATCCTGATCTGAACTGAAATCAAGAAAGTCAGGCGCTTAACTAAGTTACCCAGGCACCCCAGAGTTGTTTATTATTTATTGTACTATCCTAATACAGTGAAAGAAGTCTGAACATTTTTTTTACCCATTCAATAAATAATCCTCATAACAAAGCTACTCATGCAAAAATTCATCAGCTAAAATATTGGTATGTACCAAAATTTCAATTCCAAAATACAGCAGATTCATATTAAAGGCTTCTTTTAAAAGGTCAACTTCATGCTGGAGAGGTAAGAAAAAATAATTCACATGGAAAATTTCATTTAGTGCCCTGAGTATATTTTTAAAATGGCTCAGTGTCTGCAAAGTGTCAACAGTAACTTGTACTTGAAGAGAACTCGGGCATCGTCTTGACATGCCCTTTTACACTGTGAATCTTAAACATCAAATGAACAGGAGCTTCCCTTCCCTCATCTGTATTTTTCATTAAAAAGCTGTAAACGCTTTTTCAAGGCAAGACTGGTTTTAAACTAAGATTTATATCTTAGAATCTTAATTGAGATGATCACTTGCTTCTTCTTCACTTTCCTAAATGCAAACTTGATGCCTATTTTCTCCCAGCTTATTTCCAAAATCAGAATCTATCTGATGCCACATAAAAGGAAACATTTGCCAGAAGAGTTTTCTTAATCACTCTAAAATGGAACATTTCGAGGGTAAGTAGCTTATCATGGGCTTAGTATTCTTGTAGCACTCAAACCTAAGCTCCACACTAAAAAACAAGTTTGCTTAACTGATGTGTTTTACTGTTGGGTGAGTGAGATGGGGAAGAATTTTAATTTTTAAATCTATTGTTTGAGTGTATTTTATGTATAATATAAATATTTTGGTATATATTTATAATAAATGCAATATATGCAATACACATATTATATACACATATTTATAATATAACATTATAATCAACATGAAGTAACAATTATTTATTAAATATTTAAATTATATTATTAACAATTTAAAATTGAATAAATTTCCAGCCTTAGGTCTGGGACAACATCAGAATGAGTTTTGATGCACCAGAGCATAGGTAGTGTGCTCCTTGTGCATCACGGAAGCTTCCATGGCATACTATCTGGTCTCTATACATGTTATCCTGGTCTCCGATGGATGAATTCCAAGAGAGTTCTAGATCATTGTATTTACCTCCACCATACGAACCCCAAACAGGGAAAGACTGAGGAAAGTTGTATTTCAAAGATTTTCAGAGACCGTAGATGTCTGTAAGAATAATCTGTGTATGTCTGTAGGAGAAGGAGCTGGTAGGATGCAACCATGATGTAGACAGTGGTTTCCAGGCTTGGCTCGACAGCCTTGGAAAACTGCATTAATTGTCCTACCCTGGGTAAACAGAATCAGAATCTGGGATGAACCTTCCTGCCTCACTCTGGGCTAAAGTATTTTTTTGCTAATGACAATTATTTTATTAATCATTTACCAATGCATGTGAACGAAAGCTCATCTCATATCAATCTTAAGTTGAAGGTCTGAGATCTGAGATTTTACTTAACTTCCTTTCACAATTCCATTCTCTTTTTCCACAAGCAAATATTTCCTGTGTTATAACTTTGACAAATTTTTCCATTGGCATATTCAGATTGAATTTATGCAGTGACATTTAAAATTTTTATTTCAAAATTAATGATTATATCACATTTAGGAAAGGAAGAATTTTGCCCCCTAATTTATGTTAAGAAGAGATATACATTTTAAACATATCACTATTTCTTTCCATTTAAAAATTTAAATGACAATTATTAGTTTTATCATAAAAATTAAAAACAATTATCTGTACTCATCTTGTTTGATAGCTTATTCCATTCACAATTTTTGTTTTTTTCCTCTCCATTATAAAAACATCTTCTTGTTTCCACATGTAAGTCAAAGAATCCCCTGTTAAAGTGGAGTTTTATTCTCCGAACTCCTTCCGAGCTCTCAGATTGATTCTTTGGAGTATTATAAATGAGTATACCTTCCACATCTGTAATAGAAGCTAACATTTATGAACAATTATATGCCCAAAACAGTGCTATGTACTTGATTAGAATTATTTAATCTCCATATCACAAGTAAGAACCCAAAACTTGGGGGTTCAAGTATTCACCTAAACCAATACAACACGGCTTTTAAGTGTCAGACACTACAAAGGCAAAAGCAATTTCTAGAAGTACATATTAAGTGCTTTAGGACACTGACAGGCAATGGACTAAAGTATGCAATATTTAGCACAGATCTATTCATTAATATGCTTTTTATTGCACATAGAATTAAAATTAATGTGAGCTATTCAGGGTCCTAGAAAAACTCAATGTTATGGATTTATAGGTCAACTCATACCAAAGACCATAGATCATGCATTAATTCCTTTTGATAAGTGACAGATTGAAAGTCACAAATTTGAATAATGGTACTCTATTGGACTACATTTGCCTGGTAGTCTCATATGTGTCCACTATGTTCACAATCATCCTATCCTCTAAACTAAGAGAGACTCATCCAAAGTATATAATTTTATTTAAAATAACTTTCTTGGAAAAAAATGGAGAAGTTCAGCTCTATTTTAAATTTTCCAGTACAGGGGCACCTGGGTGGCTCAGTGGGTTAAGCCTCTGCCTTCAGCTCAGGTCATGATTCCAGGGTCCTGGGATCAAGCCCCCACATCGGGCTTTCTGCTCAGCAGGGAGCCTGCTTCCTTCCTCTCTCTCTGCCTCTCTGCCTGCTTGTGATCTCTGTCTGTCAAATAAATAAGTAAAATCTTTTTTAAAAAATAAATTATCCAGTCCATAAAACCATTTGGGTTGCATGTTTCACCCCACTTTACTTTCAAGACCCATCTAAGGAACAGCACCCTCTTCCTACTGCCATGCCAGTTCTCCCATTTTGGGTATCTCTGAATTATAGGTCATTTTTTCGGTGGAAACTTTTTTTCAGGGCTCTAATACAGAGTTTTAAACTCCTGATACGTTTAAAACAAAGATTACTTAGGGTCTGCCCTTGTAAAATAGAGGTATGAAGTAAAAAATGAATTCCATCTCAAAGAAGTTGGGAGAACAGGAAATGCTGCAGAGAAACTGCATTAAGTGAGGCATGAAGGGAAGCTATTTCAGCCCTCTTGACTTGAGGGCAGGACACATATGCATTCAAAATAAAAGATTTCTTCAGGCTTAAAGGTTTTTAACAATAGGAGCTGATGATCAATGAAGGAAAGAAGCATGCTCTAATGATTTTTTGGACCAGATCAACTTGACCTTTCTTTTTTTTTTTTTTTTTAAATCCTCCAATAAATGCATCTACTCCACTTTTTCTCTCCTAGCATCCCTAACAATTATTTTGATTCTCATGATTTAACTGGCTTTCTCAAATGCTTTTATGAGGAGTAGAAAGGGAAAGGGAACCATGTTGCTCAAGGAGTGACAGAAATATTCAAGGACTGTGAATAAAGTAATAAAAGAAAACTAATGTGATCATTTAAAAACCTACCCCATTCCAAGTTTCTGGTCATTAAGCACAAGTATAGTGGCTGCCTGTACATGATTTTTGCTCCCCATCAACTATGGCATGATTTTCTTTAAGCTATAATATCTTCCAGCACTTTTTGAATCATTACAACATCAACCATAATGCTGAGCCTTTAAAAGTCCCCTAATGAGACATTTTAATATGTTAGTCAAAGGATTATTTGGTAGACCAGTAAAAACAACTTTGCTGGCTCTTAATTAGCAAAATGCCTGAAAACAGCACATGTGTATTCTTGTCAACAATATATTATTATTAGAACATGTATTGTAACTCGAATTACTACCCGAGGAGGCTAGTGTTGGCTTTACTTAATCTGTGTGATGTTCTTCAGCTTTGTGTTCAGAGAAGCACTCAGTGTGGGTGGAGAGGAGAAATAACAGCGAAATGGGAGAAAAGGAGAAAAGGTAGATACAGATTTTGAAGACAGATTTAGGAAAAAAGGAGGAAGAAACATTAGGGTAGATTAAGAGAAAACAGGAAAACAGTAAAAAAAAAATGAGTAGACAGACTAGATTATCACAAAGCTGCGGTTCAGAGGGATTTGTAAAACCAATCTGAGCATTATCTGTACATGATGAGTATATAGAAAATTACTGTATATCTCATTTGACTTTTTTAGAGGATGCAGGCTTTTATATGCATTCATTTGCTGAATTTCCAAGGTCATAAAATAGCTTTGTGAACATTTTGGTTAAGTCTTTATAAAATGTAGATAACAGTGTTGCTGAGATATGACGTATCCAATGATATAGAATGACTTGGAATATGGAATTACATGATTGACAACACCATCCCAGAAGACCTTGTTAAAAAGCCAATTAAAGAACTGAGATTTAAAATATTTAGACATATACTCACCCAACAGACAGGAAAGGCTCCTTTGACTCAAGTCTATAAAAAAACATGAAAAATTATTTTTAATATAACAATTTGCTATACACTTAAAATTTGCTTTTATAGAAGTCTGACAAAATTGTTATATTTGTTTGGCTGAAAATGTATACTTTAGCACTAATAATAAGCTGTAAATAATATATGAAGATCTAATCTGGACTAATTCAAATTCCAGCTGGCTTAATGCAGAAGGTAATGAGAGACATTTCGAATGGGAATGTAGCATTTAAATGATACATTACAATAATAATACTGTTAGTCTAATTCTCTCTATATCCACTTCTCTTGTTTTTACAGTAATTTGTAGAAGTTTTGATATATCTATTTGTAGCTGTTGTAGCAATAAAATAATTTATAATGTATTTAGTTACATATAGGTTGAGTAATTTATTCCGGTAAATATTCTGTAATGAAGAGAGAAGCAGCATGACATTCATCATCGTTTACCAAAACGTGAGTGGCAGCAGAAGAGGGAGTCAGGTCATAGTTTAGGATCTTAATACCTCCTCTTAATGTTTCCAATTCTGAAGCCTCTGATTAGTTGTGGCATTTTGAGCAAGCAACTTAAAAGACTTCCTGGTAATTATTTTTCTCATTATGAAATAGGTTAGAAGTCTTCCATTTAATTTTCTTATTTCATAAATTAATTTCTTTGTAAAAAGCCAATCAATGAGGAAACTTTCCACTTCTAATATTTCCTAATTAATAATTAAGGAGACCAGTTGGTATAGGTACGTATTGGTCACTTCATTTTTGTATGTTTCTTTCTTTCTTTCTTTCTTTTTTTTTAATTTATTTATTTATATGAGAGAGCAAGAGTGAGAACCAGAGAGCATGAGCAGGGTGAAGGGCAGAGGAAGAACCAGACTCCCCGCTGAGCAGGGAGACCAACACAGGCCGATTCGGGTACTCCAGGATCATGACCTGAGTTGAAGACAGATGCTCAAATGACTGAGCCAACCAGATGTCCCTTTATGTAAGTCTCTTAACATACAATTATGGGTTAAATGTAAGCAAATATTAAAGACATTTTTATCTGAATCATGGTGTTTGAGACGATGTTATGAGTACTGTGTGTTCTATGCAACGGACGGATCACTAAATTCTACCTCTGAAACTAATAATAAAAAAAAAGCTCAGGGACGCCTGGGTGGCTCAGTTCGTTAAGCAGCTGCCTTCGGCTCAGGTCATGATCCCAGTGTCCTGGGATCGAGTCCTACATCGGGCTCCTTGCTGGGCGGGAAGCCTGCTTCTCCCTCTGTCTCTGCCTGTGCTCATGCTCTCTCTCTCTCTCTAACAAATAAATAAATAAAATCTTAAAAAAAAAAAAAAACTCAGAGTTTGGAGATGTACATTTATGCAATCTTTTCCTTTTTCAAATTCTGATTTTATTTGCACCTCCCTGTAATTTCTTTGCCATATTGTGTGTTTGTTGTGCCCGCGGAACTAAGGGGAAAAAAGTTGAAGATAAATACTGAAATATACTTGGATATGCTTGTTTTGTAAGACACGACCAGTGCTAGGGGATCAAAAGAAGTTGCCATAAATAAATGAGGAGGATTCTATATATGTGACACAGACGACCATTGACTTATTTGGATCATCAGCATCATGACAATATCACCTCTCCCTTACTTTCTACTCAGCAACACTTAATAAACCGTTTCCTGCTGCCTGTAGTGTTCTCTTAGCCTCTCACTGCTGCCTGTTTCTTAGTCGCATCAACTAATCCAGCAAAAGAAAACTGAGTTATCTTGACTCCTTTCTCTTTTTCATCTCCCATGTCTCAATTAGCAATGTCCTGTCAATTTCTTCTTTATGTGACTTACATCTCCTTCACTGGATTCCCAGGCTAATTCTCACTACTTACCTCAGCCTAGCTGTTCTCTCCAAATGTAAATTCTTTGTAACAGTTGTTCCAGCTTCACAGGGTTTCCACAATGCCCCCACTCATATCATTTATTTGAGGACTGCAAGGTGTTACTTTCATTCAAGGTATTGTAAACAACACGAATAAAAGAAAGACCCACCGTCTTGCCTTTCCCTGTACAATTACTAAAACACTGAGTTCAGAATGTATTTGGAGTAGTATTTACTTATTGATTTTCTTTCCTTCCCCCACCCCGCCAAGGCTTCAGATAAGCTGCCGTTGTTGGATTGGGGCATACAAGGACATATGTTGCCCCACTGAAACCAATGGTTAATATGGTTAGTCCCACTAACTAGTTAATTGTCTCCTTCCACTTCTACCCCTTCAGTCCTTTCAACTATTTCCTCTCAGATGTTCAATAGAAGAATTCAGGGAAAAATTCAAAGTTTTCAAAATGATACTGGATTGAGATTTTGATTGATATTTATAAACCAGGGGTTGGCAAACCCTGGTCTACAGGCCAATTCTTGCTCACCACCTGATTTTATATAACCCACAAACTAAGAACTATTTTTACATTTCGTTTTTTATTTGAGTCTAATTGACACATAATGTTACGTTACTTTCAGGTGTACAACATAGTGATTGATTTAACATCTCTGTGGTTATGTTACACTCATAAGTGGACATTTTTTAAATGGCTGAAAAATATCACAAAAGAATAATGTTTTGTGACACGTGAAAATGATCTGAAATTCAAATTTCAGAGCCCATAAATGAAGTTTGCTGGGACACAGTCATGTTAATTCATTTACATATTGTTTCAAGCTGATCTTGTGCTACAGCTGCAAGATGAGTAGTTGGAATAGGGACTGTGACTGCATGTCCACAATTTGGAAATATTTACTATATGGCTTTTACAGGAAAACTATGCCAATGCATGACCTGTGATATGTTGTTGGAAGGAACTGGAAACAACCTTTCGAAATAGACACTCTTTAATACATATCAAATATTGTTTCAGAATCAGAAGTTCAGAATAATTTGAATTCCCTCTCTACGTCACCAATTCTCTGTACCTACTACTGACAGATCAACTCCTCTACAATGCTCTTTTCATGTCACCCTTGTTCTTAACAATTTTGATAGCCATAGGATGATGCCCAAACTTTTTAGTGTGTCATTTGAAAGCTTGTCACAAACATGCCTCATGCTAACCTTCCATGTTGGTCTTTATCACCTCTCTGACTAACCACTTTACTCCAGGAAATTTGTCTATTCACTACCTAAGCAAATCTCTTTTGCTTTGGTGTCTTGAAACATTCTCTTTCTATACCAGAATACCATTTTTTTCCCTTTTCTCTGTATGATCTATTTATGTAATTTAAGATCTTATTTATCTATTTATCTTAGTTTATCTAATTCCTTCATAATGCTAATCCTGACACCTTCATCTTATAGGAACAGTCCCGTCACTAAGCTTCTATTACTTATTATCTCCATTATGATGACATATTCTTAGAACAATAGTCAATGTCTAGCTTCAAGTTTTAAGACTGGTAAGAATGGGGGTGCCTGGGTGGCTCAGAGGGTTAAAGCCTCTGTCTTCGGCTCTGGTCATGATCCCAGAGTCCTGGGATTGAGCCCGGCATGGGGCTCTCTGCTCGGCAGGGAGCCTGCTTCCTCCTCTCTCTCTGCCTGCCTCTCTGCCTACTTGTGGTCTCTGTCTGTCAAATAAATAAATAAAATCTTAAAAAAAAAAAATACTGGTAAGAATGTTAAACTTGTAAGGCTACCTAGACAAGAAGCTCCTGAAAGTTCTGTGTTAAATCTTCTAACGGCTCAGGAGAGGTGCTGGCTGATGCTCTATGAGCTGAACAGAAAAGAAAGATCATGGTCCATTAGTCATCCTAAGCCACTGAAGATGAGCCCTAGGTACCTGACCCCTCCCCACCACCCAAACATTTGCAGTGATGACACAGAGCAGGAAATCTGTGAGGAACTACCATCAGGCAATCCGGTCGCAATCCTGTCTTCAAAACAATGACACATTGTGTAGAGGGAAATGATAACTGGCCCACTTAGAACGATGCTCTGTTTTGTAACCAACTGCCCAGTCATGGTTTTATTACACAGACTTAACTTTCCCAGCCTGGAGTTGATTCAAAGATTTTTACATCTTTTCTCATTCATTATACAACCAACATCACAGCCAACTTAAGAGGCTGTTGAGAAGAATATGAGATTATATACTTAGAGTTCCTAGTACAGAGCAGACTGTGATGGTCAAGATTATGTAAAAGATAGGTTGTGAGTTCTAAGGCCTGAAACTGTCTGAATATGTGAAAAGCTCATTTTTGCAATTTTAGCCCTGAAAAGTGAAAAAAAAATGTAAAAGAAGAAAAACTACTAAGAGAAACATCCCTTTGGAGAAAATTGTTTATCAATGTAATCCTTAGAAACAGATGAGTACATTGTGATATGCCCAGAGAGAAGTTTTTCTGAGGAGTTTTGTATTTTTTTTTAAAACAAGGTAATTGTTTTGTGGAAAAAAAAAAGAACTGATTTTATCTTTTCTAAGATTTACTTTTAACATGAACTGGGTAGTGAATTTAATAACACTTCATTCAAGATCCCCTAGAATGAGGAGTAGAATAAGACAAACAAACCATAGCCTTCAGAAAAACAGGCACAGTAAGGGAATAAAATAGAATGCAAAATGAAGATCAATATTTGGAGCTGACAGATTTATACCATTTTGCATTTAACAATAAAAAAATCTATACTATATTTACTAAGGACCAAGCATTATTAAAAATGCTTTCTAATCACTGATTTATTTAAGCATCATGATATCCTCTGAGATAGATCTCATTTTACAGATGAGGAAGTTGATATCCCAAAATGCCAAGTATCTTACCTAAGGTAACATAGCTGTAAAATGGCTGAGCTAGGATGTGAACCTAGGCATGCTGGCTCTAAAGTCCACGCGCTCCTGTCTTGCCTCGTGTATTGCCTTTCATTAGTTTATTTTCTTTATTTTGTTTTTATATGCCTTATGGCATTGTCACATTTCCTTTCTTTACAATTTCTGTATTTTACTGAGAAATCTAATCTGGTCTTTCAT